GGATAGCTAGAAAGAAGCTAAAAGTTTAAAAGGTCATCAGCTTACAGGCAATGGAAAAACTAAAGACTGATTGTATGTGATCTGTCAAAATCTCTCTAATCTCTTAAGGAAAATTATGATTAGAAGGCAAAATGTGAGAAGTTACTCAACTCAAATTATTTCTGACTGAATAATAAATATATCATAAATATATGAATAATATAATATATCAGATGGGTAAAAGTTTTAGCAGGTAAAATGTGAAAGCACAATATTGCTGCTTAGTTACGAATTTTAAGCAAAAACTTGGTGATGACACAAATAAAAATATTTTTCAACATGATAGAAGCTCGAAGATTACAACAGAATATGTAAAGCCAATAGATAAGGAGGGGGGCAAAAGCATTGCTGTGAAGATACCGGAGAAACAGCAGTGGAGACACCAAATGAATTGTTTGCATCAACATGCGGTACATTTAGAAAATTCTCCAGATGGAGCTCTTGAGGGCAGAAATCAGCAATTGTGTTATATTGAAATATTAATAGATGCTGGTTTCATAGAAGTAGAAGTAAATAATGATAAAGCAAACAACAAACTGCCAGTGTTAGAGATATTCCCTTTGAACGCTGTAATATATGGTAGGGATAATTCATGCTATTAATGTATGATGTAAAATATTTTAAAATCCAAAAACTATGTCTCTGACCATCCCGGGGAGCTGCTGTCTATTCAGATTACAACGAGTTCTCGAACACAAGTTAAGATAACGAGAGGCGCCTTAACATAAGAATAGAAGCTTTCAGGGCGATGATCACCGGTATCCTGAGTCATTGGGAGCCACTCAAGAGTGATTATCACCCTGCCGATTGCATCTGTCTAGATAGTCAGCGGTGCCAACCTGATGCATCTGAATGCATGGCTTCCCTGGAGCCCATTGATGCTGACTACACACCTGGAACCGGCTTTTCTTTCCATGTCCAGCTCTGCACATGGAAAGAAACAGCAATGCATGTGAAGAGACACAAAGGAAATTCGGTCATCTTTGCCTCAGGCACAATAAACTGTATAAAACCTCGCCACACGAAGCACAATTTGTGAACAGGGGAGACTCTGACAGTCGAGGGGTCAGGTCCAGGTCCACCCAGTGCTCATCCTGGGCTCAATGCTGTCTCTTTGGCTGTGGTGGTCTCGGAGACCGAAATTCGGTTGTGCAGACAAATTAATAAATCTTTGCTAAATTTTTGATAATTTTGGCTCACAACTTGATCATTTATAACAATCTGGTGACAACCCGAAGTGATTTGAATTTGGGGTTCAGGACCCCTTCGCGCCCAGAAGGTGCCCCGCTCATTTCAGTGGTCTGAACGGGATTGGAGTTCGTGAGACCAATCAGAAATTACCGAACTGAAACCAGAGCCACAGCCAAAGAGGGATAAAAATGGGCCCAGCTCTCAGAAACTCAGCAAGATCCAGGGATCTCTGAGCCCGAGGTGCTTTTTCCACTTAGAAATTGATGTGCACGAAGAGTCCACGCAGTAAAGGAACCGCAAGTATCGCATGGTTGAGTGGGGTGTGATCGAGTGTGTGTGTGAGACGTGACTCTGTCACGAAGTTAGTGTGGACCCCACGATCACATTTCCACCATCCTGCGAGGGACGTGGTCGGTGAAGGGGGAAGCAGACGCTTTTTCTTAACATGTGGGACCTGGGACTCGTAGGGAGTTCAAGGGGGGAAATAGGTTATGGTCAGGTCAGAAAGGAGATAAAGACGGTCTTGGAAAATTCCAGGAGCCCGTCTGCCTTCTGATCCGGAAAAAACAGGTAAGAAAACCGAAGATCAGTCAGAAAGTCAGCAGAATGGTTCTCCGTTTGACTGAGTAAGACTGGCGGTGTTTCACAAGCTCCGGAAATCGACATCAGACAAGCATTTGGGACTCGCAACAAGTGTCCCAGCCAGAGGAGACAAGGTGAGAAAATTCGCAGGTGGGATTTTTGGAAAAGTGGCGTTGGGAAAGAGCAGGTTCCAGAGAAAACCCCAGGAAAAATTTCCCCAGGGTCCCAAGAAAGTTCTGCCAGAAATCCCAAGGGATAGTCCGTTGGGGTGGATGCTAGAGCACTGGAACGACAGCCCCAGGAGAGTGGGCAGGTCCAAGGAGAAAATGATACATTTTTGTATTGAAAAATGGGGAGGGAAGGAGATGAGAAAATACGTTGTTTGGCTGATGTTCGACATGTTTGAGGCATGGACTTGCGAGTCTTTGTACGATTGCGTATTTGATCGCCACCCGCAGGATTTTGAGGAAATTGAGTATACTGAAATGTGGGGGTACACTTGTATGAGTTTATACCTGGTACGAGCCTTCTGACACACGGTGAACAGGGGAAAGGAGTGGGAACCCTTGAACAATCTTCCATCTCCCTACCTTGTTCCTCCGTCCCAGCCCAGACCAGCTCAGGCACTGCCGGTGCCTGCATTTCCTCTCAGGGTGGCGATCCCACTGGGTCAGGTCTCGGCGCTGCTGCTCCCACTAGAGCAGGCTGCAGTGCCTCCCCTTCCACGTGAACAAGCGGTGGCACCTCCGCTCCCATGTGAGCAGTGACTGCAGCTGACCCTTCCCAAAACTGAAGAAAAACAGGTAACCATCCCCAAAGTCAGCTCTCCCTTGGCCCATCGAACAAGAAGGAGAACGAGGAGGGCAACCATGGGAGACAGTGAGGATGAGGAAGAGAAGCCCGGCTTCGGTTTATGGGAGGTGCCAACGGCTCCTGGAGTTATCGGCTTCGTACACGCGCCGATCGACACCAGTGACGTGAGAGCGTTCAAGAGGGAGATGGGAATGTTGATGGATGATCCTTTGGGGGTGGTGGAAAGGCTAGATGAATTTCTAGGGACCATCACCTACACCTATGGGGATCTCCAAGCGATCATGAGATCGCTGTTCAACAATGAGGAAAGGGACAGGATCAGACTAGCCGCGATCAAAGATTGGGAAAGAAGAAACCCCAATGGGGAAAGCAGGGATGAGAGATGGCCAAACCAGAAACTGTCCTGGAATGCCCAGATGGAGGAGGGGAGGTGGAAAATGATAAATTTAAGAAATAAGATAATTCAGGGTATCAGGGAAGCGGTACCCAAGGGACATAACATGAGTAAGGTACTCAGGGAGTGCCAGGGAAAAGGTGAAACGTCCACTGAGTGGTTGGAGAGGCTCCGAAAGGGCCTGACAATGTATTCGGGGATGGATCCCGATTCTCCGACTGGGGCAGTTTTGCTGAAAACTCAGTTTTTGGCAAAATCCTGGAAGGACATTCAGAAAAAGCTAGAAAAGATAGATGGTTGACAGGAAAAGGGCTTGCAGGAGCTGCTTCGGGAAGCCCAGAAAGTCTACATGAGGCGAGACAAAGAGAAAGAGAAGATCCAAGCTAAGGTATTGGTAGCTGTAGTAAGGGAAGCACAAAAACAGGAGCAGGTCAGAGACATGGCAAAGAAGGCGCCGGTGAAGAAGCAGAACCCTTCCCAAGGAAAAGGATCAAATGATCAGAAGAGAGATTTCGAGTGCTATTACTGCAAGCAAAAGGGACACATCTGAAGAAATTGTCCCAACAAAGCCAAGGACCAGGCAATGTTTCAAGAAGATTAGGGGTGTCAGGGGCTTTTCAGTTTGGGGTCCAGAACACCGAGGGAGCCCTTGATAAAATTAAAAGTAGGACCCCCACAGGCAGGCGATGTGGTTTATGGTAGACTTGGGGGCAGAATGGACAGCGGTTCAGCAGCTGCTGCAAGGGTGCTCTCTGAGCGACGATTCAGTGATGATAATTGGGGCAAAAGGGGAACCATGTGAGGTTCCAATCATGAAAGATGTAGAAGTCGAAACAGAAAACAAAAGACGTACAGGAAATATATTATTGATACGGGATGCAGATTTTAATTTACTGGGGCGGGACATGATGGTAGCCCTAGAAATCGGCTTGGCAGTGGAGAATTCCTGGCTCAGGGTGAGAATGTATAAACTCACCGTCCAGGACGAGGAGAAAATAGATCCGAAGGTGTGGTATGTCCAAGTAACATATGCTGGGAGGTTGGACATAGAGCCGATTTGTGTCGAAATTGAGAGACCATAAGACCCTATTTGGGTCAAACAATATCCCATCTCCATGGAGGGGAGGAGGGGATTGAAACCAGTGATTGACGGATTGATAAAGAAAGGAATGTTGGAGCTGTGCATGTCCCAGCACAGCCCCCCAATATTGGCTGTGAAAAAGATGGACGGTAACTTTAGGCTGGTGCAAGATTTAAGGGCTGTGAATCAGAGAACTAAGACTTTGTTCCCCATGATCTCGAATCCTTACACTTTGTTGAATAACATTTCTCCTGAGGACGTGGTACAGCATGATTGACTTGAAGGATGCTTTTCAGACCTGTCCTTTAGCAGAAGGCCAGAGATTATTTTGCGTTTCAGTGGGAAGATCCAGAGAAAAACAGAAAGCAGCAGCTCAGGTGGACGTCGTTGCCTCAGGGCTTCGTGGATTCCCCGAATTTATTTGGGCAAGCACTTGAGCAGGTTTTGAGTCATTTTGTACCAACGGAGGGGACAAAATTGCTACAATATGTAGATGATTTGTTGATTGCAGGTCCAAGGGAGGAGGTTGTAAGGGTGAGCACCATCTTGTTTTTGAACTTTTTAGGGGAAAAGGGGTTGAAGGTGTCAAAGTTGCAATTCACAGAGCCCGAGGTCAAGTACTTGGGTTAACCAAGGGAAAAAAGAAATTGGATCCTGAAAGGGTGGCAGGGATTATTGCCTTACCACCCCTGCAAACAAAAAGGGAGGTCAGACAGCTTTTGGGCTTGTTGGGATATTGCCAGCAGTGGATTGAAGGGTACAGCGAAAAGGTGAAATTTCTATATGAGAAGCTCACCACAGACCAAATCAAATGGACAAAAAAGGATGAAGAAGAATGCAGGGGAGTCAAGGAAGCACTCACAGCAGTGCCAGTGCTGAGCCTCCCTGATGTGAAGAAACCCTTTCAGTTGTTCGTGGACATGAGCAATCACACGCCACATGGGGTGCTGACACAGGACTGGGCAGGGGTCAGGAAACCAGTAGGTTACTTGTTGAGGCTTTTGGACCCGATCAGCAGAGGCTGGCCCACCTGTCTGCAGGCGATTGTCACTGTAGCATTGCTGGTGGACAAAGCTAAGAAGGTAACTTTCGGTGCACCGAAAGTATTTGCACCGCACAGTGTGCGGGGCATATTACGACAAAAGGCAGATAAATGGCTCACTGCTGCTAGATTACTGAAGTATGGGGCCGTTTTGATTCACTCGCAGGATTTAGAATTGCGGACAACGACCACACAGAGCCCTGCGCAGTTTTTGTTTGGGGAAGCTTCAGGGGAGCTGGTTCACGATTGCGTAGAGGTGGTTGAATTACAAACAAAGATCAGAGAGGATTTAGAAGAGAGAGAGCTAGACAAAAGAGAAAAATGGTTTGTAGATGGGTCAAGCAGGGTGATTGATGGAAAAAGGAAATCGGGATACACAGTCGTGGATGGACAAACTGGAAAAGTGATTGAAGCAGGTCCCCTGAGCACAAGTTGGTCGGCACAGGCTTGCGAACTGTACACAGTTCTGAGAGCCTTGAAGAGACTGAAAGGGAAAAAGGGAACAATTTTTACAGATTCCAGGTAGGCCTATGGAGTGGTTCACACGTTTTGGAAAATATGGTAAGAAAGTGGATTGATCAACACAGGGGGAAGGGACTGATGCATGGGGAATTGATCTGGCAAATCTTAGAAGCTCTAAAGGGGCCAGAGGAAATTGCAGTGGTCCACATGAAGGGACACCAGGCAGGGATTCAGTTCTGAACCAGCGGAAACAATTTGGCAGATCAGAAAGCCAAGACTGCGGCACTGATGATGGTAAGTACCCCAGAGATGGAAGGGATCGAGGTCCCAGATGACCCTCCTCAGCCCTCCCAAAAACAAATCGAATGCTACGAGAAGATTGAGGGGAAATTGGAAGAAGGTAAGTAAGAAGTAAGGTAAGTAAGAAGGTGGAAATTACCTGATGGGAGAGAACTAGTTTCTAAGGGTTTTACCAGGAGGATTTTGCGGAAACTGCACCAGCGAACACATTGGGGGGCATAGGCCCTGGCAGAACAATTCTTGAAATTTTTCAGGTGCAAGGGAATTTACAAATTGGCCAAACAGGAGGTACAAGGATGCCTGATTTGTCAGAAAATTAACAAAACAAGGGCAAGACAAGCCATCCTGGGGAGTCGCTGCATTGCATACTGACCATTTGAAAGAATATAAGTTGATTTCACAGAGTTGCCAAAAGTGGGGAGATTCAAGTTTGTGCTTGTGATTGTGGACAAATTTACTTACTGGGTGGAGGCTTTTCCCAGCCCATGGGCAACAGCTCAGACAGTGTCCAGAAAATTACTGGAGGAAATTTTACCCTGATACGGGGTGGTGAATTGATTCGGACCAAGGGACACATTTTACATTAAAGATTATTAAGCAGATGGCTGATGCGCTAGGCATTTGGTGGGAATACCACACTCCATGGCATCCCCAGAGCTCAGGACAGGTGGAAAGGATGAATCAGACCTTGAAAGCACAGTTATCTAAATTATTTTAGAAACTCGGATGTCTTGGTTGAAATGCCTACCTTTAGCATTGCTTAATATCAGTACAATGCCTCATTCAGAGACGGGGCTCTCACTGTTTGAAATGCTATATGGGATGCCATATAGACATGGGATGCTGGTAGGACACCTCAGGCTTGAGGACTGCCAGATTCAACCATATCTGCTTGCAATCAACAAAAAACCATATCTGCTTGCAATCAACAAAAATTTGCAGGAACTTAGGAAACAAGGGATAGTATCTCAGAGTGCTCCTCTGGGATTCGCTATCCACAAAATTCAACCAGGTGACAGAGTGCTTGTTTAAGTGTAGAAAGATGTACCCCTCTCTCCTCACTGGGAAGGTCCCTTTCCTGACAACAGACACAGCCATTTGGACAGCGGAGAAAGGCTGGACACATGCATCTAGGGTGAAGAAACATGAACATCAGGAGGAAGCCCGAGTGGAGGGTCACTTCTTCCCCATGCAACTTGAAACTCAAACTCCAACGTCCTTGTAAATGACCGATGGCAAGCGGATAAGTTGTATACTGACTGTGTATGCTATCCATTTGTACATTTCAAGTGTGAATTTTGTCAAGGGGTGTTTGTTGTACACTGTAGAAGGGGACAGACCCCCAAAGGGGTTGTGCACTCAGTGTCTGGAGGAGGAGCTTGAGCTGACTGACCGAATCCTAACCCTAGCCACAAGCCTAGGAATCATTGCATTAGATTTACAGGAGTGGTTTCAGATTTTTCAAAACAGGGTGCATGGAAAATTTAGATGTAAGGCAGAGGTTCTGAATGTGGAGTGCCAGAAATCAAATCAAGGTACCATGTGGCTCCGATGCTGTCAGAATTTCCTGGGAGGGTGCCTTCAAAAGGAGGCATGCAGAGAATGTGTTCTCTGAAGAATACTCCTGCTGCCATGAAGATGATCTTCCTCGCCACTGGTGGCACCCCAGGGGGCAGAGGCAAAGGCAGAGGAGTATGCCTGGTGGGAATCCTGATTGGCGTGAGCCTAGCCATGTGCGGAACGCAGAGTCTTCACATTGAGGTCCCAATGAGAGGCGGAAATGACAGCTCCGCAGATGAGTGTGGAAGTTGCACTCAGGTGGTCCCAGTTGAGCAAGGGGACGGGAAACCCTCAGCATACCAAGACCCAGAGGAATGCATCAAGGAGCCCAGCAGGTACTGTTGAGAAATGGCACAAGAGTCAAATTATGTAAATTGGACAAAGGGATTTGGTGTATCGATCCTGAGGCAGGGTCAAGGAACCAGCAGTCAGACAAGCACAAGCATCGGATGCGGAGATGGAGTGCAGAAATAATGTCAATCCCCATTTGCAACCAATGCAATCGAACCATGTGGGTTGGGGGAAAAACGGAATAGATTTTTGTCGCGTATCACCAGGTGAATCCATTGTGTTATGACAATGCAAGGCTGGTGATATGCACAATGAATGGGAAAATTTATTGGATGGGACGAAATGTTAAATTTGATAGCAAATTTACCTTGAGCAGGGAACCAGTCATATTGGATTTCACACAAGCGAATGATGATAGGGTGTGCCTGCAATATGACAGGGTTGTCTGTTTCACAAAAAATAAAGATGGTGAGGATCCTGAGGGAAGAATGAGGGAGATCACTCAGGAATTGAAGAGAAGGGAGTCAGAACTGAGGAGAAAGCAAATTGAACAAGAGAGATTGAAAACTCTGGGAGAACAGTACAAATTACTTGAGAAACAATACACTGATGGGGAATTACCTTCCCCAGACAGGAACCTATTTATTGGTTTGATGCAAGAAATTGCAACGGAACTGGGATTGTCAAATTGCTGGATTTGTGGGGGGCTGAAGTCAGCAGAGAAATGGCCATGGAAAGGGGAAGGTTTGGCTCCAGAATAGCTTCTGAAATGGGACAATCCAAGAGTCTCAAAATTGGCACAGAGGCCTGAGGGATGGATTTTGGATCAGAGAGTGATTGGAACCACTTGCATCAGTCAGGAAGGAAAGGAATATACTGAGTGTGGGATACACTCCGTGTGTGACTACCCTGATGGTAAATTCAGACAATAAGGGCAGGGTCTGGCAACCAGAACCCCCAACAGGGTACTGGAGCCGGAAGAATGAGACCAGTTGTGAATGGAACAGAAAAATAGAACTTTGCTGGGTCAAAAATCCTGGAGCCAACCCTTACCAATCCTTGGAGGGCCTGAGAGAATACTGGGGAGACGCAGGGAGAACAAACATTAGATGGAAAGCCCCGGATGGAATTTATTTGATTTGTGGGGAAAAGGCATACAGTGAGTTACCCCTGAGGTGGAGGGGATCATGCACTCTGGGCATGATCTGGCCAGTCTTCTTTACTCTCCCATGAATGAAGAGTAACCTACTAGGGGCTCCTCTGTATGAGACCCTGAGGAGGGAGAGGAGAAGCTTGAAAAAGATGATACCTGTAATGAGTGGCAAACAAACCTGGGAGGGAGGAAGAGTGGCCGGCCGCAAGAATAATTGATTATTATGGACTGGCCACGTGGGCTCAAGATGGAAGCTACGGGTATAGGATTCTGATTTATCTACTGAACTGGCTGATTTGGCTGCAGGCAGTGGTGGAAATTGTATCAAACCACACCTCAGAGGCCCTGGATTTACTTTGTCAGCAGCACACCCAGGTACAGGCATTTGTGTACCAAAATCAAATAGCTTTAGACTATTTGCTGGCTGAAGAAGGGGGGTTTGTGGAAATTTCAGTGAATCAGAATGTTGTATTGAGATTGACGATTATGGGGAGACCATAAGAGGATTGGAAGCCGAGATCAAGAAAGTGGCCCATGTCACTTGGTCACTTTATAACCCTTGGGTTATAAAGTTCAAAAATGGAATTTGATTTTGCAGTCTTCATGGTAGGACAGATTGATTGATGGGGCCTGGTGGAACAAAATAATGTTCTTCATGCTGTGTTCAGTAGCTGGAATCCTATTCCTGCCATGTCTAATTCCTTGTTTTATTAGACTGATCCACTCTATGGTACAGGGGATGCAGATAGCAATAATGTCTGTGAACCTGGAGTTGGCTTCTGGAAGCAATACACTTAAGATCATGAGCCTGGGAGAAAAGAAGTATGCCAGCAATGCTGCCAAAGTATTGGCGAAATTTGAGAAACGAGTGAAATCGAGTATAAACAATACTAAGTGTCAGGATATTCCACAAGTGGAGCACAGGATAATTTAATAAAGGTTGCTCTCTTTGTGAAAGACCCTTAATAGTGGCGGGTAGAAGTAGAAGTAAATAGAATTTAGCAATTTGGGTTATAAAAGAAGCATGAATTAAATTAGTGATATAAAAGGGGAGGGATTGTAAAAATGGTAGGGATAATTCATGCTATTAATGTATGATGTAAAATATTGTAAAATCCAAAAACTATGTCTCTGACCATCCCGGCCGGGAGAACACGAGTTAGGATAACGAGCGACGCCTTAACATAAGAATAGAAGCTTCCAGGGCGATGATCACCGGTATCCTGAGTCATTGGGAGCCACCCAAGAGCGATTATCACCCTGCCGATTGCATCTATCAAGATAGTGTGGGGGGGGGGGCGCCAACCTGATGCATCTGAATACATGGCTTCCCATGTATTGATGCTCTGCACATGGAAATAAACAGCAATGCATGTGAAGAGACACAAAGGAAATTCGGTCATCTTTGCCTCAGGCACAATAAACTGTATAAAACCTCGCCACACGAAGCACAATNATCAACAGATGTTTTCCTTGTGTAAAATAGACATTTTTTAGCTCAAATCTTTGAAACACATATACTACTTAAAGTTTGTGTTTATGCATTACCTTCTATATTAGTAATTCAATAAAACTTCCAATCTATACCAAAACTATTTTTCTTTATTCAAAATGTGTACCACTCCTAATTTAGCTTTCAGGGCTTGAGCTAAACCCATGTCATCAAAAAACTCTGGGTTTCTCATTTCTTAATTCTTCTTCTAAGTTCTTTTCCCATTGTGTGTGTTTACTTTTGACCCTACAAGTCTATTATGAAGGCTATATGAAATACATTCTCTCC